GAAATCTCGAAGATCCCGGCCTGAAGCACGCAACACCTGTTCGGGCGGCAAGTAGATCTCGCAGACCTTGTCGAAAGCTGCTAACCCCTTGGTCCAATAACTCACGGGCAGCTCGTACACATTGGCGCATCGGCCGTCAAGTATAAGCCTGTCCCGCTGGAGATCCTTCACAACGGAAAACAAACCAGATGCAATACCAGGGCGAACCTCTCCACGATCTAAGATCCCGAGCCTGCCAGTCGAAGCGAGGAGCTTGAAGAGTTCCAGCTTGTTTTGCCGCGTGGCCATAACCGTAGACCTTGCGGGAGGAGGCTCGCGAGGAACATCAAGCACACGATGCAAAGGCTGAAGGTATGCATGAGCAGCGCGCTGGTGTTCGGAGGCATAGTGATTCGGGCTGCCTCAATTTGCTTTGCGGCCATTGGCTTTTTTTCCCCGCAGCTTGCCAGTGATCCACCCATAAGGTCTCGAGCGCCGGCGCCGATGGTCCTCCAGACTGTCGGCACTGTCGCGCACATCACGCTCAGGAGTGCTTCCGGCGGGGGCACCATGAGGCACCATGTACCGAGGAAGATCCCGCTCAGATTCAAGAAGAGTGCGATGCAGAGCCCCAAGGATGGCGTCCTGGTCTTCTAGCTTGGAAGCAATCCTGCCGAGTTCGGCCGGACCAAAAGTAAAAGATTCATATCCGTCCCCGATCGACTCGGCCAAAAGCTCCACCATCTGCCATTGCTTCTTAGTCAAAGGCGTTCCGGCCCCAAGCCCAGGAGGACAACGAGGTGGCCGGCGAAGGTATAGCCAATCCAGGGCCGAAGCGGCCAAGTTCAGCAACCGCTTCTTCCAACCACGTTCGCCTCCACCGCCAGCCTTGAGGACTTCGGGGTAGGGGAGCGGCATGGGCCAAAAGGAGAACGTCGCCCCTGATGGATGTCGGGGCTGGCGGGCCATATCCGCGAAAAAAGCCGAGAAGGAGCACCTCACAGTCAAAAGAAATCTCGGCAGTGAATTCGCCAAACCGCCAACCTTGATTGGCGGAGCTTCCGAGCCAGGCACCTTCAAACGCCCCGGCCGAGAAGCTGAGGTCATGCACGGTTCTCGTCGGTCCCCTTCGCCTTCGGCTTGGCCTTCGGCTTTGGGGTCGCCTCGGTGGTGTCGTCGCCCGCCTGTCCCTTCGGCTTCTGGAGCTTCCTCCGTTTCTCCATGTAGCTTTCGGTATCTTGGAGATGATGCAAGAAGATCTCGGCCCATCTCGGCTCGAGGAGCCGGCTGAGGGGCTGCTCTGCCAAGTCTCCGTGAGCGCGAGCAGCAAAACTGTGGAACGGGGGCGGCAGCTCTAAGCTGACCTCGGCCGCAAGCGACCATGCGCCGCGGTCCAGAGCGACCTGATCGGCCTGAACCAACATGAGGCAGGCCCGTGCTCGGGCCTCTTTCTCCCGCCCCTGAATCAAACAGTCCAGGATTCCTCCTACTCCCCAAGCCGTCCTCACTGAAGCCTGATAATTTGTGAGGCGCGAGCGGTTTTCTAGCCAAGCCCTCGCTGACAAAGTCGGCCGCATGCCAGGGCTCAGCGTGGTCGATAAGAGGTCTTCTAACATGAGGCGCTCCAAAACCTGGTAGATCTCCTCGGGGGATTCGTGGAGAGCCTGCCTGAGAGCACGACGGGCCACCGAGTTCTTGCGGGACGACACGCCCCCTGCGTCGCCGACGCTTGCTCCAGTAGCTGCTCCATCCAAAGCTTGCTCCAGCCTTGACCCTTTGCTCTGGCGAGTCACGTGCATGTCCTCCACGAGGGTCGTGAGCTTCACAAGAGCCGCCGACACCGGATCCAAGGGCGGGGTCTCGACAAGCTCGGCCGACCCAACACCGCCGCCGAGAGTAGGCAAAGGAGGCCCACCTTCCCTGTCGCTCTCTTCCAGAGGATCTGCTGGAGCCTTGGCCGCCTTGGTCTCGCGAAGCCGCCGGGCAGGGTTTGCAGAAAGAAGGTTCGCCATCTCCCCCAACGCTTTGTGATCCACCCCTGCCGCCAGCGCTGATTGAACGACCCCGGGGTCCAAGCCAGGATAAATTGGCAAAGGAGCGCTGAGAGGCTGGAGCTCGTGAGGCCAAAGACGGGGCCGGAGCAGCAGCCAAAGGAGCAGTAGGCGGCTGGGTCCTTGCCGGCAGCCTCGAATGATCCTCCACCGGAGCCTGGGCCCGAGCAACACTGAGAGCTTGAACAGTCGCCGTCATCGCTTGCACAGCCGCCTCCAAACGATCCAGGCGCACATCCGAGGCACTCGCCGAAAGAGCCTGAGGCGGCGGCGCAGGTCCCGGAGCGGCGCTCTCCGCAGAGTGAAATTGGAACTTGTCCTTTGCCAGCTCCACCAAGGCCTCGGCGAGCGGCAGATATGCAGAGTCGCCGCCGTTGGTGGTGAAAGGCACGTTCGGCTCCAGGCTCCCGTCGAAAACCGTCAAGTTCACGAGGGACTCCTCCAGGAAGCCCAGCCATATCTTGATGCGAGCGCCGTCGGCCCGTTCGGCCCTGGCACCCCTCGCCGCAGCAGCCACTTCCACAGCCGTGGCCCTCACCAAAGATCCTGGCGGCAGCCGCCGATTGGCGGCCCGGCGGTGCCAAGCCACCTGCGGCACAGCTACCAACGAGCGCTCCTCCAGAGAACATACGAACACCACTTCGACAATGTCCTGCTCCTCGCCCTCCTCAGCGGGGATAGCAAGGGCACCTACGAGGAACTCTTCATCGGCCGTGTCGCCGTCATACACAAAGAAGGTCCGGCCGTCGATCTCCCCCTCGTCGGCAGCCGCCTCGCCGTCAGCCTCCCCACTCATCCCTCGTACGAGGTGGGCTCCCTAAAGCCCCCCGCACGCAGGCAATCAGACACGTCTCTCTGAGCCGGAACTCCCACGAACACGGAGTCTCCGACCTCGCTCCCCCGTTTCACAAGCGCCTTGCACGCCCCGAAGCGGGAAAAGACCCGGAGATGTTGGTTAGCCCCTAAAGGTCTGGGGTTATTGGTTGGCACACGCTTAGCCGCATAACTTTAAACGGAAACGCTGGTTGGCAAACGACGAGCCTACATAAAAAAAGACCGCGGGTGGTAAACACCAACCTTCACATGAAGCGGTGGTTGGCAAAGTTGAAATATGACACAGAAATCCTACAATTACAGTAAAGGAAGATCATGGCTGGCAAATGCCGAGCCTGGAAGAATATCGGGGTAGCACACTCCGCATGTTAATCCCGCTAGGGGCGAATACAGTAAGATTGGTTATCAAACCCTAAACTGCGCTAAACCTTAGAAGGAGACGTCGGTCGGCAAACCCAAACCCGAATAAGACAATCGTGCGTAATAACCGCCCACCCTGAGCCAAATAGCGGTTATAAAGTTATAAGCCCCCAAAGGAGATGTTTAACAAACCCCAAACCAAACACAAAGCGTGGGTGGCAAACCCGAAAAGTAGAAGATACTGCAAATCACCCCGAAAAGGAGATGTAGGCTGTGTCACAGGAGAAACAGCCACACCAGCGAAAGAAGCAAAAGCAGAATCTCACAAGCATGTTTTGGCCTGAATCTGTTTCTGAACCGGGCACCTGCGATCCTGAATCGACTCACCCGGGGGTCCGACACCACGAGACGTTCAGGATGATACAGAACTTTCGTTCTGCTGCACGAAAAGCGACGACTTACGCTAGTCGTAAGAAAGGCTGCGGCTGTATGTCGTGCTTGTGTGCGTATGCGGGTCTCCGATGCTTGCAGGTTTGTGCTTGTGCTGCACTTGCACAGAATGTGCCATTGTCTCAGATGCTTACGGCTTCCCGCAGGTAAAGAAGGAATGTTGCCCTGGCACCGCATCTCACAGGTTCTTGCCACCCTGGCCTGTTATCAAGTAACGAGACTTCTGACCTAAGCATGTGACATGCCCGTCGTTTGCCTTGTCGGATGCGCCGTTCGAAAGAGGAGCGCAGCTCCACGCCGAGCTCCTTTGATGCCCGGACAATGACGTCTTGCATCTCCCTTCGCAAATCTGCCACCTCGGTCGATCACAAAACGATGCCACGCTGGGCTGGCACTGTTGAGGTTGGCTTAAAGTTGGCTTGTGCATGCAAAGCACTTGGCTCTGCAGCCCGAGCTGAAGCTCGTCGCTCTTCTTGTCCAAGACTGCGAGTCTTCGCTGAAGGTCAGCGCTGACCTTGCCCAGGTTGTCAGACTCCTGCGCAACCCGATTCTGTAGGCGTTCCAAACCTCGCCAGGTGTCTTCGGAAAGCACTTTGAGCTCAAGATGCTTCGCCCTCTCATCCTCCGAATCTCTGACGACTCCTTCGCAAAAGCTGAGCCGGCGTTCGAGGTCTGCATGTGCAGCCATCCCCCCTTTGGGCCGATGCCCTCTGCAGGCCGCAAAGACATCTTCAAACTTGCGCTGGACTTCAGATTTGTGTACGAGGAACTCGTGCCAATGTGACAGGACCCGAGCCTCGAGTAAGTCAAGGCGACGGCCCAAGTTTGCAGAGCAACCGCCGCAGTCTCGAAAGTCTCGTCCCTTCTGCAAGGCTAACTTTGGAGGTGTTTGCTCGTAGCCTCTCACAGCAACGATCTCCCCCATGTTCGGGCAGCCGGCATGCCACGGGGATGCAGCACTCGAGACCAGAAAACTTCTCAAACTCAAGAACCCCCAGAAGAGCGGGAACAACCTGATCCTGCTTGCAAAGATCTGCTGTCCGACTACAAGCCTGGAGCCTGGGCTGCAACTTGCATTCTGCACGATTATTCGCACATCACACATGCAACCAATGGTAACCAATGCCTCTCACAGGTCAAGTCGCTTCAACTGCGTTGACACGGCAGAGCACTCCCTTCCAACTATCAGGAAACTCCCAAGCAATTGAAACATGCTCGTCACTGCAAACTCGAGAAGACCGACCTAGGTTTAAGTATGTGTCGTCTCCTCAGGCAGCGGCACCCTCTAGTTTCAACAGCATGCTCAGTGCTCACGGCATCCAGTGCCTGCTGGCAGACGATACATTTGCACGGCCTTTCGGCTGGGTCCTGGCCAGCCAGCTATGCCGATAAATCGGGCAATAAAGTGCCTGAACAAATTCTGAGCTGAAACTTCCCGCCTCAGGCTCCTGCTCCTCAGGAGAAGGCGGGGCAGGGCGCCTAAATCGGAGCCGGCGCACGCTTCTTACTTTGACGAGCGATGTAGCATCCATGAATCTGTGATGGGCGGACCCTTCGCAGCGTTCCAGCACCTCTCGTTGTGCAGGAGGCTTTGCACCTGACGGGAAGGCACGCACGCTCCGTGCTCCCTCCCCCAACCCTCTCTTGCTTTGTCCGTCCTCGGCGACTTCCCTTCGGCATGCGGCATCGCCACCGGCGGCACAGAGAGGCGGCACAGAGAACTTTCAAAGGTGCAAATGCAAATTCTGAGCTCAAACGCTTCCGACCGGAGCACGGGACAGTCCCCTTGTTTTAGGCAAGCAGCAGCCAAACAAAACGGCAGGCTTCGCAAGAGACGAGAATGCTCGTTTTCGCTCCAATGGCCTTCTGAAACATTCGCGCCTCTGGTGACTTGGATCGGGCGAAAACCAACTCCAGACAACAGACATTGCAACGTTAAGAGACAGCCATGACAATGGCAGCATCGGCAGCGCGCGATCCTCCGAGAATTCGCTTCCGAGACAGAGGAGCTCTGGAGCCTGGCACACCTGGCACCTTCCAAATATTAATGCGGGGAATATGCAAGCTGCAAGCTCTCCTCTCGCGGGTCCTGGATTGGTCTGAGTTCACACACCGCCGGCTCCTAAAGAAGGCAATCAACGAAGAGCCGCCGCAGTCCTAAGAGCGATCCAGAGCTCTCTACTTACCGAATTAATCCGACATAGCAACCACTCTGTTGGATGTTCCCAACAGTAGTTGCCGCATACGCGCAGCATGCGCTCCTGCTGCGTGAGACGAGTCGCAGAACGCATCAAGCATAAAGCTGCATCTGCTTTGCTAAGCATTCGGTAACTAAGTACAAAGCCAGCTTCTTCGCTCTGATTCGTAGAATTCAAGGGCCCTTGTCTTTTAGCCTGGGCTCTTGTCTTATACACTTAGTGCCCCCTCTTTAGGAAGGTGTGCACCAGGTAGACCCCTTTGGGTCTGTTGAAGGATTGGAGGTGCGGAGATGATGGAACAAGGCAACGACAAAAAAAACAGCGACAAAACAGCTTGCAGAAAAAACTGGGCACATCAGCTACGCCACCTCGGCTTGCCCGAAGCAGTTTTGTTGAAGGCTGGGGTTGGAGAAGGTGCACGTCGCATATGCGATGTAAGTGACCGGATTTTCGTCCTGTCACCTGGGGCTGGAGGGTAGCCATCTCGCGCAGGCGAAGGTGAGGATGGCCGCTGGGGCGATGGAGGGCGGGAGTTGCGGCCCACTGGTGACGCAGTTCTTCCCGGATGGGCCGGGGAAGCCGTAGCAGGGCGGTTCCGCCTCAAGGGAACGCCACCATCTCCAAGCAGGTCGGCCTTCACGGGAGCGAAGATAGAGCTTCTATCTGATCTCAGGGATCAGCGGTCGGCCTTCGCTCGAACCGGCCCCCCTGTCCTGCAAAATGCCAGCACAACGCGATGCGTCAAGTTGCATTAGCCCAGGCGATGAAACACAGCGGACTGACCAGCTGCAGAATCGTCCTGAAAGGCGTCATGCCACCCCTGTGCGCCCCCTTGGTCAAGCGACTGACTCAAACCTACGAGGCAGGAATGCAAATTCGACGGCTTCGCAGCGGGCATTTGTAGCATTGCCAGACCTTACAACATCTCCGAGAAGGCAAACAAAGTTCAAGGAAGCCACTAAAGACTTCGCCGTCCACTCAGCACGGTCGGGAATCCGGCGGACCAGGTCTCAAAGTCCCCATCTCAGCATGCAGGCATCTCCATGCAGCTCAAGCTTTTTGCGGTGTTTGCTCAGATGCCGACGCAAAGCCCGAAGCTGCTTGTGGACATTGGCGGTGTGGATTTGCCTGGGTCCCATCAAACTGGAGTAACTCAACAGGCCTCCGGTCCTGTCCGCTAGCAACACAGAATGTTGTTTGCATGTTGACCTGTGCTTCATGCTCCAAGCTTCACCTGGCAGTGATGCGATTGTTGAATCAGGCGTTTGCCGAATGGTAAACGAAGGCAGCAGGAGATGGCTGTACATGGGAATCCGGTCATGATTTTTTCACGACCTGCATGACTTGCTGTTCAACTCATGCGTTCCCTCCATGCATACACTGCAACGATATTAAGAGATGCTGCATGCCCTGTTGGCTAAACGCCGATCAAAAGCCCACGATGGTTGTCCGAAAAGACCTGGCTTGGCTCAAAGACCTTGAAGGCCCGGTCAACTCCAACTCATCCTGCGCGCTTAGTTTGCTCGCTCGGCACGACATCTTCTAATGCCTTTCGCCACCGGCCTGATTTGTCGGTTGCTCCCGGAGCTCAATCTCGGTGACGCCACTTGCAGTGAACATCAAGAGAGTCTCCTCATTTCGCAGGGGCACCACGCGACTGGTCGGAGTACCATCTGCTGGAAAGATCACCACGTCTTGCTATTCACCCAATTCGCCCCTTCTGCAAGCTGATGCTGACCTGGAGCAGGCTGAGGTTCGGGCCCAGCGTGGTTCCCAGAATGCACAGTCCACTGAACTCTCTCCGGGCCGAAGCGAACAATGCAACTCCAGGCTACGGGCCTCGGACGTCGCAGTGCCTCAGCCTGAGAGGACCAATACGACGGGTTGAGCCGAGGCGCGTCCCATAGCTTGACGTCACCTTTGTCCTGGCTCAGGGTCAGCAGGAACTTCCCGGTCGGCATGTATCGCACAAGCATGAAGTTGTTGTTCTGCTCCGGGTTGACATCCGAGCCGTCCTATGTCAAAGGACCAAGGCTAAGACACAACCTCTCATCACCCCTCATGACTAGTTCGGTCGGTATTGGTTGCCCTTTGTTTCCCGCCGCCTGCACCGTGCCGACCACCCCGTACTTGGCCTTACTTAACTTAGCACAGGACATGGACATGACACTTTGCCATAAGACAGGTTTCTCAGCATGTTGCTGCTGTGTGCCTGCGACAGGGTCTGCCATAGATGGATGCCGCGCTGCCCAGCCACTGCAAGCTGCTCCAGCTGTGTTGACCTGCGCTTTCCGGGCGCATGCAGAAGCATGACGGATCAATGCCAACTGCCAGGAGAGACTTCGCTCGGTGCGAAGCATGTCCGCAGAAGTTGCCGTGGCATTCCGGCCGCAAGCCTGGCCAGAGTCGCTTGGCGTTCTGGTGAGTGGCCATGAACATCCATTAACAACTGCCGTGGAAGAAACCATCGTCGGACCGCTGTGAGGCAGACACTGCACCCTCGAGATCTCCGGGTCTCCACGGACACTCGACTCACTTGACATCATTCGGTGCCCAAGGCTTGGCGTCTGCTACACTGGACTACTCGTGAATCACTTCCCTGCATAGCTCGCCTCCGAGATGGAGAAAGTCTTCACGCCACAGCTATCCGCCACCACCACTCGACCGTTCGTCGAGATGCTGAAAATGCCCATGATCTGATGCCAGAACAGCGCCTTTCAAGTCTCTCACGGCAGAAAATGCAGAAACAGCCAACAACCAACCTGCGAACGAGTTGCGACAACCGGACTGTCACAATGGTAATGCTCCAGGAGGAGAGGCTCTTGTGCTTGCAACACCGGCTCGCCGTTTGCAAGGCTCTTGATCCCCTGGCGTTCTTCCATGACCTCGACAGCACATCGAGCGAAGTACTTATATATGATCCCGGTTCTCGGTTCACCGACCCCCCCCCCCCCCCCCCCACGCTCCCCAAGCCGAATCTGTGTGTGACTGTGCAAGCTTTTTCCACACGAGGGCTCACACGCCAAGCAGACCCACTCCCGAACCACACCACACCACAGGGAGGGGGAAGCAACCCACAACCACACCACACCACAGCAGACCCACGCAGGAAACCCAAACCACACCACACCACAGGGGGGAGTGGGGTAACCAGCCTAAGCAGACCCACTCCCGAACCACACCACACCACACCACAGGCAGAGGCAAGCAACCCACAACCACACCACACCACAGGGGGGGAGGAGGAACCATTGGGGGGGGGGAGCGGGGGGCCGGCCGAACCGGGATCATAGATCATATATGCGCCTGTCTTGCACCGGCTTATCAAGTCTGTTCGTGCAGGCTTCCAACAAGTAAACACACACAGGGCCACTTCCACGGCTTGCAGAAGTACCTGGGCTGGCCACGACAGCTCAGACAAGTGGCTTCTTCTAGGGTCATTGTCTTGTCGCTGGACTCCGTGACGAAGTCTTCCGGGAAGAATGTCTTGAAGATGGCCACCCGCCCGCTCTCAAATCCTGCTAGGACCTTACATTGTGGAGTGGCGTGCAGGTCGCAGGAAGGTGGAAAATCTCGGTGGAACAAAAACCTCATGAAAATCTTGCTGCTTGCATTGCCAAACGCCGTTTCCACCGCAAGGGCCCCATCGTCCAGAAGCCGCCGGCTCGGAAGGTACAATGCTGTCGCAACATCTCCCATGCGACGGGATGCATCAAATCCCTGGATTTGGTGAAGCTGCTTCCGCTTGGACCCATGTGAACGGAAGAAGTAGTAGACAGCAAGCTGGCCGTCCCCGATGCCTGCCACATATCGAATTCACGCGCATGCCCGTGCCCTGCCAGCACCTGCTGTCGTCCACTTCTGAATCAAAGTCAAGTGGCCTGCAGCCACACGCGGCCGGAGAGCATCGACCACAAGAGTCGCAATTTCCACTCGCGTCCGGACTGGGCTGGGCTGCCGTGCTGCCTGCTCACGTGCTAGCGCCAGCTTCCTGGCCTGAGGGAGTGGCTTGCTGCCTCAGCTCCCACTGAAAGGAAATGTCTATTTACAGGGTGCCTTGCTCCAAGCTGCTGGTGGATTCGATCTCTGCCTCCTTTTGGACCGGCTTGACCGGATTTGCGCGGCCACCGCGGCTCCGTGACATCCTTGGGACGAGAAACATGCTGAAGAAACCTGCAAGACCGAACAGTTCAGCCGAGGAGCTCGAGAAGAGCGCGCGGGGTGTTCGGTGAGCTCTTCTTGGGCATCTGAGATTTCTCCGTGTCCTTTGGCTCTCTGATTTGGGTGTCCGGCAGCGGCACACGTGCTTCGTCACCTCAGGCGAAGGCAACAGCCCGCGCATGCCGAAGACATGGTATCGCTCGGTGAAGCTCGTTCCGAGCCTTCCTCCTCTACCACTTTGCCGCGGCTTTTCGCAAAGGCGGCTTCTGCCTCTGCACTCAGCCGTTGCACCAGCCGATGCTTGGACTCCATCTCCTGACATGTTACAATGGTCTACCCCTGGCAATGCGAGTCCCAACACGGTTGAGGTAATTAGTAATTAGGAAGATAGCAGTGCCTCAAACATCCTCCTCGTGACGTTGTAATCTAAAGGGTGAAGCACGGTGGTTCTCTGCCTGAGTCAGCAAGCAAACAATCCAAAAATTGGCTTCAGCCTGCAGACGTCTTGCATGCGTAGTGGCACTGTAGTGATAAAGCGCTCCCTCTCCAGGTCCAGGTGCGTGTCCTTGAAAGAGGTTTCCAGTTATGCGCAGCCCATCACAAGAGAGGTTGAGGGCACTTTGCTGGCCCCCCTGTCCTGCATTTCTCTGTTCTCACGCTCCTTCCGAATCGCATCATTCTGTCGATGCGCTTCCCTTCGGGTCGTTCGTGACCCGTCATCACCTGACACAAAGGGTTTTGATGGAAGAAAGCACACTATCATTCTGCGGTTTGCCAAGGAAACTACGGAGGCGTATGCATGAGCATCTACCCAAGTGAAACCCAGGCTGAATGCAAACCCACTTGCTGTGCTGCGCCCTGCACGGCTCCCTTGCAAGTCGGGCCAGAGTCGCTTCCGGAGGCCGTCCCAGCACGAGGCCGCTCCAAGCGCTTCAAGCCGGGTGCAGCCACCTGGCACCCAGTGGCACCCGGCCGGGAGCCGCAAATTGAAAGATCACTGAGCTCGCTAAAGGCTCTCGGAGCCTTGGCGCCCTTCTTCGACTTCATGCCGGAGGATAAGGCCTCGCTTCTCGGCGTCAGATTATGTTAGACTTGAACATTCCCAGCCAATGAAAGTCACGGCAAGTTGAGCAAATCGGAGCAAGCTGCGCTGCTGTAGTTCGACATTCGTCTTATGTCTCCTTCGCTGCCACTGCCGAGCTTCCATACCTTCTGCGTCATCAGAAGGGGCAGAACAACCGCACGCGATGGCTTGGAAGTACGGCAGTACGGGCCTGGGAGATACAGGACTGGCCAACGGCTGCGCAGCTGCATGGTAAAGACTTGTCTGGAGACGAACTGCTGCAACCCAGATCCTGCGCAAAGTGCCTGTCGCACTGCGCAAGACTCACACGCCGCGTCCTCAACGGTGATAAAGCCGTTGCCGCGCTCATCCAGCTCCGTGAAAAGCAGGAAGGGCTTCACACCGGTCAGGGACTCGACATCATAACCAAGCTGCCTGCCGAAAGCAGGCACTACAGTAGCCCCCAGTTGACTGCTTCTCCCACGGTGCCTGCGGCAGAGGTTCTCAAGATCCAGCGCGGTTGCCTGAGCATGCCTTGGCCGCTTCTTTGCTGGGATTTTCATCACATGCGACACCTGCAGGCGAGTGTCTCGGGACTCATTGCCTGGAAAGCATTATCAGGCGTCCTTCGCTGCCACATTCGGGAAACGTGCCAACATCGAAGAAAAACACTGACCGTCATGTCTCGTGACCCTACACAGTAGATTCAGTTTACAGTAATTAGACATCCATTATGGTGTAGATGGAGGCTCTGGTAGATCTTGGCAAGGACGAAGATCAAGGCTCTCAAGCCATCCAGGCCCAGCTGCTTCAGCTCCTGCGCTTTGCTGCTGTGGCTTTCAACCATCATATTTTGGTAGTCTGGCGGTTCGGCCTCAAGCAAGGCGTCGGGGGGAGTCTGCAACGGTGGTAGGTCGTCCGCCGCGGGGCCTGCCTGAGAGCAACGTCACGGCACCAACGGCAGCAGAAGCAGCTACGTCACCTACGACCAAACCTGCGAGAAAGCACTGGCATCTTCAAGGCATCGATCAGCTGAGGCTCTCTTCGCCCTCTGTTGGTTGCAGCGGATGCTAAGCCCTGAGAAAGCAGCATGGCGCAAGAAGCTCTCAAACACTAAACAGATGGCGGAGTCACGGGCCTCGTGTTTCGAGAAAACCTGAGCTGGGAGTCATGCCGGTGTCTGCGCACCGAGATTACACGCCGAGGCGCGGAGCGAAAAGGTAGCAGCGCCACCTGCAACCAGCCTTCCGGCGCCTTCGGTGTCGTTTTGAAGAAGTGGCCAACCCTACGACGGAATGTCAAATAAACCCCAAGCTACCTGGTCAGCTTGTCGCAGCTGCCCTTCTCGCGACGAAACCGACGGAACCCAGGTCAGATTGAAGCCATCATGCGCCGCTGTCAATACAAAGAAGCGACCGCCCTCCGTGCGAACATCGGCTTCGTTCAGAGCGACGGCGACGCATTGCTCGATACCTCGGAAAGCTGCGTTCGCATCTGCTTCTGCTGCTCGAAGCAAAATCAAAGTGCTCTGTGCCGACTTCGTCCAAGGTGCGGGTCGACGGCGAGACGCCCTTGCCAAAACCAGGAATCCTTGAAGTGACCAAGCCTGCAGGCCACTCTGACGAATCTGATTGATAAGAACATTATACCGACGAATATCCCAGATAGCCGGGGAAGTGTCAACGAGGAAGCTCAACCACTTAGTTCTTCGCTTTCTTGCTGCCGCTGACTTGTAGTTTGGCGGGTGCAGCGCTGCTTTAGGCTCCGGCTTGCCGCTGCATGGTCTGGACTCACTCTTCTTAACATGCTTCAACTGCGGCTTGTGGCACAATTCAAAATCCAACCCGGCCTTTCCATTCCTTTCGGGTCACTCGGCCGGATTTTTGCCAAGGTCAAAACATCCTCATAATCGATCCGGTCATGCAGTTCTTGTATGTCACTCTTTCGCCAGTCAATCGGGACATTTGCGCTGGCAAAGTCTTGGAGGATTTGATTTGAAGATCGCTTGTTTCCTTTGAGATGTAGGATCAATTCCCACGCGTCACACATGTCACCATGTGCAGTTTTTATACCCTGTGCCGCAGCAATCAGGGCACCAATCTGCTCAAGACACTCCAATGAGCTGTCATGCAAATCCGACACCATGCAACTACACTGCACCAAGCTGTTGCTCCATTCCCGACAACACATCAGAAAAAAAAAAAAAAAACTCGATGTCTATCTCGCCGCTTCTACAACAGCGTTCGGAATAGCAGTCGGTGTCAAGTACACCAACCTACCCTGTCGCACAATCGGAAGAAGGTTGTCAGCCGAGTCAAGCAAGATAGCTTCGCGCGACTACGGTCGAATTGTCCTGCGGCATTCTTTAGCAAATTTTCTCCGGTCTACGCACGTTTTACTGATGTTGGCTAGCTGTTAAGCCCAAAATGAGCCTCTCAAAGCTCTCCAGGAAATCAACTAAATTTGGTTGTTTTATCTTTGGCAAGCGCTTTTATGATCCGGTCTATACACTTCTTGTTGATGTTGGCGAGCTTGCAAACCCGACATTGGCCGCCCAAAGCTCTCAAAGTATCAACTTTAAACTTGTTGGGTTTCCTTTGGCGATTTCTGTGGTTCCGAAACCCTTTTTGTATCCGGTTTACGCTGCGCCGGCCCTGCGTGCCGCTGCGTGCCGCCATGCCGGCTGTGGACACGGCGCATGCCACTGCATGCCGATTACATGCTCCGCCGGCAGTGCACACAGCAGGTTCCTTATCTTTACTGTAGCTAGAACCCCCAATAGCTAAAGCTGCTTGGGGAAAGATCGCATCCCCAGGCAGTCTTGGCTTCGGCTCAGTTGCCGGCCTGTCAGGCCTGGTACCCTAGAATCAGAACCGGGATTCTGAGTTAGAAGACCATTGCACAAGGCGCAAGGCCTGCACCCATGGGCCCGGCCACAAGGCCACGAAGTCCAGTGCTGCGCAAAATTCTAGCCACGATCCTGGCCGTGTGCTGGATAGTGGTGGAAAGCAGATGCTCACGGCCAAACACGGAAAGTTCGGAAAGGGTTTGAATCATAAGAACAGGCAGGGCACCGACAGTCAGTGACACATTCCTCCAAGGCTGCAGGCTCTTCCTCGCCACTATCATCAGAAATATCGTTGGAGTCGTGCGCTGCCTAAGGAACAAGCTCCAGGGAAAGGGTGTTGCTGTCGTGCCGTGAGTCGTCATCTCACGCTCTCATGACGAGCCGCAACAATAAGCAGATGCCATCCTAGCGACGATGCAAAGAACACGCACCAAAACCTCCGGACGGTCCAGCCGGCAAAAACCCGCGATCCAGCACTGCAAGCGCGGGTCTGGTGGCACGAGAACTTGAATCAGATGCAAGAGTGGGGCACTGCGTTTGTCTAGATTGCTGCCTCCGAAGGCAACCTTAGACCTATCTCCGTGATTGTTGCAGGAGTGGAACACTACAAAAAGGCTAAATACCATAAAATAGTTGCACCCTGCCCAAGGACACGAGGCGACGAGAAACTGACGAACCTGCGCACGCTCTCCACAATCTTCGAAGCTGCACCATTTTTTGGATGGGAGTGGGAGTGGGACGGCTGTCACCCAAGATCTGAGAAGCCAAGTGTCGGCTGCAACAAAGCGCCGTGCTGAATGAGGCTTTCGATGCACCACCGGCCAATCAGCACTGCTCCGGATAGCCCTGGTCCACGGGCAGGTCTGTGCTGCTATGCTTCTCAAACAACCTGCAAGACCTCGCACATGCGAAAGTGCAAAACCTTCGGAAAATAGGCAGCAGGTGTGCCTGGCACTAAGAGGTACTCTGCGGGGCGATGCCCAGCGACGGGCCATGAAGTCAAGTCATTTCTTGGCCGCTGCGCTACGCCATGGCGGCTCGCTCTACTCTTCTGGCTGCCGTGCTGGGCGGCCTTGGGCCACGCACCAACAAGAACTGAAAATAAGCCTGTTGCATTCGAGCAAGCACCATGTTGCAAATCTCCTCAGTTTTTGATCTCACATTCTGCAGCAATCACCCCGACAGGCATGATGCCACCTGTGGCGTGACAAAGACAAGGGATGAACTAGCCACGAAAAGCGTTCGCCCGGCAATCAGCTAATACTGCTAATCAAGGCACATATCTGCGAGATTGCTCATCGAAGGCCACGCGAAGGACGCCCGCATCGAACTGTGTGGCCTCCTGGGCTCCAGAAGCTCGCATGCCTCTTCGAGTACCATTTCCATTGTCCCATGTTCCGGCGCTACTTGCCCCGCCTTGACCGCGGCCACATACCTACGAGTCAGTGCCACGAGCTCAGCCTCCTCCAGCTGGTCAGAAGGCGATGTGACACAAACTCTTCTGCCCACAGTGTGTCCTCCACTTCACTCTCAACGGCCTGACGGCAAAACTCTCAGAGAAATACCAGCACGGCAGCGTCCAAGCCTCTTCCATCTGCTTCTGCAGCTCATTCACTTGAAGATCGCGTATTGCCTGTGCAGACCGTGCCGTAGGTAGCTTCCGCAGCATCTTAGAAAGCTCACGTGGCTCTTTGGAGCCTCTCTGCTGCTCAGACAACTCTAACATTCCCGATGTAGATTTGAACCAGCGGTAATATTCACAAGATCCCACCATTATCTATACTCGAAAGCAGGTGCAGGAATTAGGGGGTTTTGGGACATGTTAAGGTTTTGGGGTCTCGACTCATGCTCAGGGTGTTATGCCCTCATGCTCGGACAAGCCAGTTGACGTCTATGGTTGGGCTTGTCCATTTTCAAGCTAGCGAAATCTGAACATTGAGGATTGATGTTGAAGGGGCGTCGCGTTTACAAGTAGCTTGTTGTCAACGTTGTTGGTGACGCCAACCTGCAACCAACAGCCGACAACACAGGCGGAAGACCAGCAACATCCATGTACCTTCAGGTTCATAAAGACTGAAGTTTGAAGTGTTCCAGATGACGCAGGCACTGCTAGGCACGACTTCCTGAATCCGTTGCCTTGGTGTCTGCAAGAGCTCATCAAAACAAGAACGACTGCACAAGACTCCTGTCCAATCCGCACGAGCAAACGTGCCTGCTTGAGCACAGGGTGGAATTCACCAGTCAATACCTCCTGCTTGGTGTGCCACCCAAGGTCTGCATATTCCTGTCTTGTCAAGGCTGGTATCTGCCAGGATCTGTCACGCATGCGTTGAGTTCTGCTTTCCGGGCCTCCTCATCAATCTTCAGCTGTCTCTCCTTCAAAGGTTTTTTCAAGCAAACCTGCTCCGGCACTGGCTATCCGATCCTCCTCCGGATGCAAGACCATGCTGTGCACGGTCGAGATGTCCTGAAGCCAATGCACTTCCGAAATGAGGCTTTTGACGGTTAGGAGTGCTGGACGTGGTCATGCCATGTCATGCCGTGGGATACTTGGGCATTAGCAGCTGTGCCGTGGTCTGCAGGAGCCTCAGTATCGACGAAAACAACCTAGACCGACGGATATAACAACGTCCGGACTCGTCGTGCCTGAGCTCGCGTGGCCCATGTCAGGCTGTAGCAGCCGATGACCTGTCACAATGCAGGTGCTTTCTCCGGGTCCGCATGCTGAGGTCTGCACGCTTGCCTGACAGTCTGACGACTCGAGAACAGGTCAACAAATAAAGTGAACAGACTCCGGGGCATCTACCTCTGCACGTCAGGCATAGCGGCATAGCCCAATAGTAAGTATCACAGGTGTGCTTGTAGCATTACGACACATATTGTAGCATGCCCCAGAAAACCTTGACAAAGTCTCCAGACAAGCCTGGACAGGTGCTGCTCTTAACTTTTCTCTGACAGCACAAGGCGCCGAGAGGTTCTCCTCCGGTCATTTGATCAATTTTCGGATGATCCCCTTCACTTTCGGCACGGGCCGCTTCTTGTACGGATTCCGCGGATATGGAGCTGCGCCACGCTTCATCTTGACATCTAGCCGGACGCTGAACTCACGAGGCCGGAGGAAATCGCACCAATGCGAAAGAACCTCGGTAGCCTGCTTGTTGGAGGTGGCGGTCTGTGCACCATTCCCGTCGTCTGCGGACTCGTTGGGCTCAGGAGCAAGCACAGGCAACGAAGGCAGAGGAATGGTCATCTTCCGCATGACATCCGAGAGAGGTGCGCAGTAAGCTCCTAGGACAGCAGGCGATCGCCATGTGGGCACAGCCCTGGCGCGCAGCAGAGTTATCCAAGACCCAAGGCAACCAAGAGCCGCCATGGCCAAGCCGTGCCAGTCGCCCCGCTCTCACACCTGGCTCTTTGGACCCATCCTGTGTATCTCTTGAGCCAAGATGCAGTGCGAACGTCCACACCCATCTAAGGTCTAAGGCCCTAAAGATGTCGTCACGTGGGCTGCCGCAGGCCTTCAGGCGCGGTGAAGGAACTTCCAAACCCAACTCTCGCCGGAGATTCCGTGAAGCTGCCTGGCACACGCACACACACACACACACACACAAAAAAAAAAACAGACACACAGCATGTGCGTTTGAGATGCAGGAAGTACGGACGGCGCGGCAGTGGTTTGGTTCCTCATTGAAGGTGCAGCTCCGGTGCTTGTTTGATCACCTATGGAGTGCTACTCCTGGAGGCCTGCTGCGGCGTCTCCCCTGGCTTGGCACGGCCACCAATGAACCACCTGAGTAAAGGCCGGATTCTGGATGCCGCAACTTCGACCAATCCGAACCATGAAGATCTCAGAGACTCAGAGAAGCACCAGTCCGGCTGTGGATGCACCTTGCAGGCACCCCTGCGCCCAGGAGCTTCTGGCAAAGCACCCCTGATGAGCCTTGCGCTTGCCCAGGAAAACATGAGAACCGTCCGGTGACGTGACGAGAATGTCCGACCTATTGCTGCTCTGACAGTCTGCCAATCACTAACACCACAGGCTCGTCGGTCGAGGGCTTCGGTTCCTCGTCCTCTCTACTTAGTCACTTCCTCTAATCTAAGACTGGGCCACACCCCGCACTGCAGGAAACACAAGTAAATGCTGGCTAGTGCCGGACTCCGACTCTGTCGTCTTGCAGGCAAGAAAAGTAGATCTTCGCAAGAAGCACTAGAGTCACTAGATGGACCCTGCAGGGTTTCCACGGACTGCCTGCCCGGATCTTAAATGAGGCAAACGCATCAAGGAAAGTGCTCCCACAAAGGCTGGCACAGCCGAACAGACAAGCTGCACTCGTATGGCTGAGACTCCGCGCACTGCTTTCACCAACGCATCCAGTGCGCGGCCGTACTCTGCATCCTGGCGGCTTTCACTAGGAGAAATCGTCGTATGCAAGACCCAGCATGACCCAGCCACAATGCCTCCAGAAACAAGTGATGTGGCTTGAAGTTCCCGGTCGCGAAGCATGGGACATGCATCCTCCTCTGAGTTTCTTTTTCAAGCAGTCTCATAATTCGACTCCATGCCCTTGCCAAAGCTGTGAGTACACGTACATGAACTTCGGCCAGGGTATGATGTGCCAGGATATATCTCTGGGCTTCTACTATCCTCGCATGTCGAGAGCAACCCTGACAACTTATACAGACGTACATAATGTATATGTATATACATATATACATGTGCTCTTACATACAGACATCCTGCATCGCGCAGCACCTTGGCAGTGATTGTCCCCAATGCTCTACAGAGATATTGGACTCTGCACATGCGGGCGGCCGTGAGCCAGCTAGTCGGTGGGCCAGTACGCTGCGGCACGCGGCAGGCAAAGAGATCGCATGTTTGACACATGCAATGTCCAGCTGTTTGCAGCCTGGCCCAAGGACAGAAGCGCGGCCTCTTCTGAGGCCTGTGCTAGCACCGGTGCGGCCTGATCTGTTCGGCAGCCTCATCGGTGACTCCTCGGCAGTTCACACAGAAAGTCGGCACCTTTCACTTCACTTCTCGGACCATGAGCCGCTGGCCCCGCGCTGTGGCGATTCTCCACGTTGCCTGGGCTAAACCACCATGCCGAAGCTGCAGTCAAGCTGCAATCGAGTCATCTGGCTCAGGAAGCAGGCGGGTACCGATCTGCTGGGGATGTTTTTGGTGACGGCCTCGGATTGCGCCATGCCGCCAGACAGGATCCGTAGAAAATTCAAAACGAAGAAGATGGAAGAAGCTTTTCGATGCAAATACCGGTTGAGCAAGGCAGCTCTCGCGAGCCAGGCCGGCCTTAGCTGGGAAGCTGACCGAATCAACAGCCATGGGCCATGACGTCCTCTATTTCCACCTCATGTCACTTCCGCCATGCATGGGACTCCTGCTGTGCTCGTCCCTTCGACGACTCGGCGGACCTTCGATGTGACAGCCACGAGTACCGCAGAGCATATTCTTACTTTCGCGCAAGCATTAGCTGAGGCTGTCCAAAAACACGTCGCGGAACCTCCTTTTTACCTTCTCGGGGGTCTCTCCGGGAAGAGCATCTGCGTAATGTTGGGTTTGTTCCGCGCACATGTCCGCATGCAGAGCAGCTGAGCAGCTGAGCATGTGGCCCGTTAGAGGGTCCTTGTTGTTTGGACCTCGCTGTAAGGCCTGTTGGTACGGCATGAGGCCATCCGAACAAACATAACGAGCTCGAACTCTCCACGTGGTGCCTGGGATGCCCAGGAAGTCCCAGTTGACGTTGTGCCGGGCTGACCCTGCACTTACGGAATCAAAGCACGAACACCGCGAGCCGATCAGTCCGGAGCCTGAGAAAATGCTAATCGCGGTGCTGCCGGCACCTGGGTGCTCTTTAGGGATTCGGGCCATGCCCACCTGGGGATAATGAAGAGGCAATCCGAGTCCCAAGCATCCCTGTAAGGACTGTCTCGTGAAACTCCTGTTGCTTCCACATCCAACTCCACAGCCACAGAGTTCCACATCCAACTCCACAGCCACAGAGTGAGAGAGAGACAGAGACAGAGACAGAGACAGAGACAGAGACAGAGACAGACAGAGAGAGAGAGACAGAGAGAGAGAGACAGAGAGAGAGAGACAGAGAGAGAGAGAGAGAGAGAGACAGAGAGCGAGAGACAGAGAGAGAGAGAGACAGAGAGAGCGAGAGACAGAGAGAGAGAGAGAGAGACAGAGAGAGAGAGAGAGAGACACAGAGAGAGAGAGAGAGAGACAGAGAGAGAGAGGAGAGAGACAGAGAGAGAGAGAGAGACAGAGAGACAGAGAGAGAGAGAGAGACAGAGAGACAGAGAGAGAGAGAGAGAGAGACAGAGAGAGAGAGACAGAGAGAGACAGAGAGAGAGAGACAAAGAGAGAGAGAGAGAGACAGAGAGACAGAGAGACAGAGAGACAGAGAGACAGACAGACAGACAGACAGAGAGAGAGATAGAGAGAGAGAGAGAGAGAGCGAGAGAGCGAGAGCGAGAGCGAGAGCGAGAGCGAGAGGGAGAGGGAGAGGGAGAGGGAGACCGAGAGGGAGAGGGAGAGGGAGAGGGCGAGGGCACTAGCGACAGCCAGAGGGGCGAGCCAACGATCCAGGGAGGGAGAGAGAGGAGAGAAAATACAGTAGCGCTTTGGTGAGGTCTTTCCTTGTGTTTGCTGGGACAGGAGATAGCCGCCACTTCTGGTGGGATCCGGAGCAGGCGGTGATGTGCCTCGGGACAACTGGTCCAAGGTTGGATTTTCTCGAGCCTGCTTCCAGGGCTCCAGCTGGCTGCGACCGGCCTGCGAAGCATCGAGGGGGCTGGATTTCAAAATCAGGATCACAGACGAGAATGGCCGGCCGAACTATCAACCTTTACCATTTTGCTGAAGGGGGGTCCCCCAGTAAACTGTAAGACATCAAACAAATGCGTCCTCCAAGTTAAATGCCTTGCTATCAGTTCCCATGTTGCCCCAAACTGAACAAACGGTACAGCACAGTAATGGGCTTGTCGGTCCTTGCCTTCACCATTACACAACCACACTCTTGCAGACTCTCGAATCGCTGGAGAGGCCACCTGTGACTCAGTGACTATCTCCTTGGGATCCGGCAAAGTCTGTGCCAGGCCATTGATGCCAGCAGTGCTCCCCACAACCTCTACACAGACCAAGCTTGTAAGGATTGACGGGCAATTGCGCCGTGGGAGATCGCAACGCAGCTGGGGCTTCAGGCAGGCGCAGGCGGCGCGGGCGGGGGGGGAGGTCCCGGCTCCTCCTGAAGCAGCGCTAGGCGCTACTGCAGAATGGGAGCTCCCTAACTGAGATCCTCTGCTGCCCAAGCCATGGGAATCGCTCCAGGCGGCGGTGGCCTCGGCTTCAAGGAATCGCAGCTTTCGTCTTCCCCTTTGGGGCCTGGCCTTGGCGCGTTCTCCTCTCGAGCTCTGGCCTGCACCGGCCACACCGTCTCTAACGGCCTATCCCGCTCCGCGGCTCCGCGGCTCCGCGGCTCCGCGGCTCCGGTCCGCTCCAGAAAGTCTCTGCCGTTTGCTCCCAGAAACCACATGAAACAGGAGCAGCTACGAGGAAAAACTGCTCATGCCTACGACCTCTGCGGGAGTGCTCAGTCGCACAGGCCATGCTAGGAATTCACTCAGCGCAATGAGCGGACTACGGACAGTGCTAGACTAGACTTTGATGGGGACTAGGAGAATTCTCCTGCATGGCACCGCTCTAAGACCGCATACAAACACTCCAGTACCCAAATTGCAATTAAAGCAGGAACTTTGCCCGCAGTCTTGAATCTTGCCGAAACAAAGCATTGGCAGGGCCAAGTCCTCGACGGCTGGCTTGCTGGGTGAAACGACGAGCTGCTCCACGACACCACATCTAAGCAGTCGCACATCAGCCACTGGGTTCGTCTCCCTTTCCGGGAGGACGTGGAGAATACAACACCTCATCAGCACGGCTGCCGAGGAATCGAGTCGACAAGAATCCGTGGAAGTGCACGCGGCTTGCAAGGCTTGCCAATGAAGGCCGAGGCTAGGGCAGCACTCTGCAACAAGGCGGGAACCTTTTGAGATCGATCTTCTGCAGAAGCACCTCACCGGTTCACTACTAGGGACGGCAGGACCAAACTAGACCTTGCAAGTGGGAGTGGACTGCCTGTCCGCGCGTCGTTCTTCAACGTGTCCAGGAGCCTCTCCTGAGTGGCGTCGTTCGTCGGGCCCCCGGCCCAGGCTCGCAAGAGACGGGAGAGACGGCACCAACTAACCACAACTTACCCCCCCCTGCCCCCGGCGAACAGGCATCGGAGGTGCAGGAGGTTGCGGGGTCAGCATTTCCCAGCCAACTAAGCAAGACACTAAGGTTTCTTGAAGGCGAGCATGACCTTGATTAACGTGCGACCTCAGAGCAATGCCGTCGTGTGAGCGCAAGACAGCACGCCGCACCCCGAACTGGGTTGCAAGCTCGAGCGCATAAATGCGGTCTTCGATGGCTGCCAATTGACCAGACTGCGACGGCGAAGCAAAAAGCGGGACAAACCCAACATAGCCACTGGAAGCAAGGCACCTGCTCGGTCAAGGTGATCCATGTCTGTCGCGTCTCACGCCGCACGGCCTTCCTGAATGCTATGAGAGCTGCTTGTACGGGAAGGCTGCTGTTTCACAAGTACGGTATCCACCAGCTGAGTCACTCCACTTGGCGTACTCGACCCTCCCAGCGGCTTGCTTCCTGCTGGCTTGCTTGTAGTCCACCCCCAGCATAGCGGACGCCTTCACACGTGAAAACGTAGGCCTCGACAGGGAGGGCAGTGACATGAACGGCTTCCCCATAGATAGTGTCCAAAACCGCCACCCCTGTCTCAACCGAACTTGGCGAGGTAGCGCTGCTACAACGATGCAGCCTGCCCTCAACAACCAAGACTCAACAGCCCTAACATCGTTCTCCTCCACAGCGGACTCTGCTGCCTTCCTGGCCTTCCTGACTTCCTGGTCGCTATCGCTTGATATTGCGAGTGCTCTGGTTTGATGTGTAGTGCTCGCATACGCATCTTCTCAATCCAGCGATGCAGTTTCCGTCCAGCATTGCAGCCTGCAGCCTAGATGCCAACGTGGATTTATACCTATTGAGGTGGCCTCCTTCCTCAAGCAGTCCTGAGTCTTCGAGCTCCCGAAGAGGCATGCACATGTGCCGTCTCCCGACATCCCCCGACCGAACGTCACCGTCACATGCACGACTCCCTACAGCTGCGTCGGAAGACGCAACACGTATGCTGCTACAAGGCGCATACAAAGGTCTATGTTGCATGCGTCAAGTCGCGTGTTGTTGGACCTGCCTTCCCGAAGCCATCACGAAACGAATGCATCTTACGGGAAGCTCATCTTGAAAAGCTACACGTCGTGGAACTTTTTGCCTAGATTCTATCATCTGGCACTGTTTCGTTTGACTGATGGGCCCAGGCGTCAAGAGACCATGCGGCAGGCCTTTTCTTGCTGGTGTCTCTTGGGGATGACATTGGCGACTTCTGCCTGCTCTGAGATTTGTTGAAGGGAAATTGGAAGCAGCGATGGAACAATCGTGCCTCGTAGACCAGCTCAAGTCTCATCACATTGCGTGCTTCCTCAGCACGCTCCTGGACCTGTGCAGAGATCTGTATGGGCTCATTGGGGCAGATGCCGACCTGGCGACCTGTCATCTCGCCTTGTCGTAGCTGTCTCCCATGATGGCCTGCACGGCACCACGACATCCGACCAAGAATTAGGACAAAAGATGGAACAAGATGCGAGCCAGGCAGCAATAAGAAAGTTCATCATCACCTAGAGCCATGGCCACTCCGAGGAGAAGAATCAAATCTGCTTGTTGCCGACTACTTACTTTCGTTATGCCATCCTCTGCTGGCAAAGTCACAACCAGCATAACCACGACGCAGCTCATCAGCATCAGTCGCGCCACCCATGCCGAGTCATCCTTCGTTGAAGTTCAACTGTGCTGTGCTGCCGCTGGGAGTCATGCTGCCAGGCATCGCCACCACCCGGCGGATCGTCGGCGTCACCAAAGACACCGTGAACATAGACATACCACATCATTTCACCTATTCCCACCACAGAGAAAGGCTGGTCGTAAAGCCTCTGCTGCAAAACATAACACTCTCTCTTTGTTGGCGTCGAACAAGATGCCGAAAATGCTTTTGGCCAGGCCGCAGCAGGAAAGCGAAGACAAATGTCAGCAACATCAGCAGCATGAGGCGGAAGAAAACGGCCATGTCCCAAAAAATGGTGATCAGGGTCCTCATGAGCGACCAGCGATCGAAAGTACAGAACTGCGGCTCCGACTTCCCTAAAAGCACTGGCTGACTAGCTAGCAGCTCGCACCCTCCTGTCCTGACGAGGTGGCCTGTGTTGGGAAATGCCCGCAGGAAGCTGATCAACCTCGGTGGATCGGACGGCGAGCGACCCCATGGGTCACACGAGCCTACAGCTCCGCCAGCCTCGAGCAAACGAAGACGGTCGTTACAGCCAAGAGGTCCTTGCCGTCGCCCAGAAAAGCACCTGCAGCTCCGAGAGTGACTCTGAAGATCATGCAATCGCATCAGGAAGCTGGGGGTGCTGGGGACATCCGATGTCATGCTCTGGCCATGTTGCATGAGACAAACGTATCGTGCGGACACCGTATCGATGGTCAGCCGCAGATGGGCACACGCTTTGCAAGTGCACCCGTATCTGATGGCGGCGTCCTGTTCGAATACGGACCGCAAGCAGTGAGACGGGATTTTCCTGAGGAAGGATGCAGGAAGACAAAAGTCGCAGGTGAGTTTCTGCTGGACGTCCCCGCTCTGAACATACAGCCGTCGTCAGATCCAGGATCCTGTCCCTAAGGCAGAGCGTCGGAGCCACCAGCGAATGCCCTGCAACGACGTAGTCTCGCACAATCTGGTACGTGCACATCTGCCACTCTAGGTAGGCATAGCCTTGAAAGCTTGTTGCGACCAGGAGTAGTCCTGAACTGGGAACGTCCAGCCGATGAACGAACCCACGTCCACATCGCGGCTCCTCCGTGAGCTGAACGACTGCCGACGACAGCTCGTGTCAAAGGAAGGAGGATAATTTGCGCAATCCGGATTGGCCCTGGCTGTCCACCTCCCAGCCAGGGGGTTTCAACACAATGCAAATGCCACTATGAAGTCCCAGAACGGTTGGTTGCTACGTTTTGGCAGCTCGTTGTGTGCGCTGCACGGCGTCCGTCGTGTGCGGTCTGGTTGACAGAAATCCAGCTGCGAGATCCATCCTCAGCCCGACCTCTCGCACAACATCGCGGATCTCGCCGAGGATTGGGTGCGGCCAGCTCAAGAACGTGAAAGACCAGCCAAGCGCACAAATATCCACCAAGAAGCCATCAGTCTCCTCCGTTGTGGGGCAAGTCTGCTTCAGCAATCTGGAAGCTTGCGTTGCAGCAGCGTCAACCAAAAGCAGGTCAGCTGCAGACAATGTCGCACAGCCTTACAAAGTGTTGGCTGGAGCCTGTAAACCAGATTCCAGCATTTTGTCAACTGAGCGCTTCCCAATGGCATCGAACACAGGTGCGTTGATGTGCACCGTGCTGGCCGTTTTCCACACTGTATTGGCAGGATTTTGGACATGGGATCCGCCGATCTTGTCTTGCACGGCATCCCCGATTGCATCCACCGAGCTGCTGCCAAGCATTGCTGACCTTCTAGTTGACCAGACCGCATTAGAGAGCTCTTGGGCATTGTGCTCGGACAGTCGTTCCGCGCCAGCTTGCAATAATACCTCAAGAAGAGCTGCATCATATGCTGCCAGCGTTCCGAAGTCCCAAGCCGTGTTGGAAGCCTCTTGTGGTCCAGGCGTCTCTCCAGGAAAGCCGACAGTACAGTGCTGACGAGGAGCTGACAGAAGCGGCCGGCCTTTCGACAGCAAGCTGCTCGACGTCCGTGCAATATTGGAGACATTCTGCAGATTCAACTGGTGGACTCTGTACTGAGCGATATTGGACAGGGCAGCCGGCAAAGCCCTGCAAGCAATCCCGGTTGCGCCGAACGCCCAAAACGTGAGTACAATATCTTGGCACGGAGCTCCATCTTCCTCCGGACATGCCTTCCCGAAGTCGTCCATGACTGCTTCGGCAGCAAAGGCAATCCCCGCAGACAGCGGCTCGCGTCGTGCGGCTGGACTGGCATGGGCCCAAGCTGTGATTGCAGGGTGCCTCGGCTTGAACTACGTAACTAGCTTGATGGAAGCCTCCCCAAAAGCATCTGAAGCGGGCGTGCTTCTTTCCAGAATTGTCGCAAATCTCCGAGCCACGGATGCCGAGTCCTGCGGCGTATGCTATTGCAGTTTCACCATTGCAGCTTCAAGAGTTGCAGTCCAAAGCGGAGAATTCGAAAATGCTGCCTTCCTGAGGGTTCACCCTCTGTTCACAGGTTCCTGGACTGGCCAAAGCCTCAAATTTGCTCTTAGGCCTGTTCCTTGCAAGAGCGACCGGCCGAGTGTAGCCGTCTTGGCCAGCCTTCACCCAGCGTTGGACATGTTCTACGGGTTGGAATGGTGCAGCCTTTCCAGGGATGTCGCCGTCAAAGTCACAATCGGGCGCTGTTCCGAGTAACGCAAAGTCCTGCATGTCCACAAAGCATTGCTCAGACCTTGTGGGCAAAGTTCACTGCAGCTCTGCTGAAGCAGCCCGCATGCATGCTCTGCAGGAACTTCGCGGCGGAGAAGCAAAGATGCAACTGCCCACAAGGAGTTGGAAAGCCAGCGAGGACCGCAAACAGCCGGAGCAGCGTGCAGGTGTTTCCAACATGCATCTATGAGGATCCAAAAGCGTTTGTCTCGCTGCAGGGTTCATGGAGTCTGTGCACACTTGGCCAAGCGGTTCAAACATGTGGCGACATGTACAGCTCCGAGCTCTGCATGATGAGTTTCCACGACACTCAGAATGGGGTCTACGTGCTCGAAGCGGGCAATGACGGAGTTCCACGACCGAGCCAAGTCATCTGCAGTGTCCCTCCGTCGTAGATTCACTTGGGCCATGGCTCACCTCTAAAAACCAGAACATGTGCGGCCCCCGAGAGCCAGCCGAGTTTTCTTCTTACATCACATACAGAGAAAGCTTGAACTGCCTGTGGCTGCCGTCTTGGGCCAGAGGAACCTATTCCTGGCAGCCAAAATGCAATCGACCGAAGAGACTCTCAGCTTCAACAACTTTGTTTGGGGCAGTTGGCGGCTTTCGTGGAGCAGCCTGCTCGGTCTAGGACGCTCCAAACCACAGCCGTGCTGACCAAGGCCTTAGCTCGTACAGTACGAATTGGTTTCCTACCAGTAAGATCCTAAAGCACCTGACGAACGCCCTGGATGGCGATCGAAGGAGAGTACCAAACATGCTGCAAGAGAATGATAAAGACGAGCACAGAAACGCCAATGTGGGCCCACAGGGCTGGCTGCAAACACCAAGTCAGAGAGTCTGTTCAGATCCAGCTGCGATTCGCACAATGTCCAAGTTATTCCAAGTTGTAAAATAGCTCAGCACTGCCCGCATCTTCTCCACCACGCTCTTTGCTTCCTCAAGAGATCTTCAGAGAGTTGCACAAACGACAACATAATATCATGTACGCAGCAGAAGGCTTCAAATCAGCTGTGTCTCCGCTCTTCGAACCTCGTAGGCGAGTTGCTTCCACTCCTTCCGACGCTCCGAGAGATCTGCCGCTGCTTGACATCGCCGTGACCCACGCGACTCAAACGGTCAACGCCCGTGTCCTCGTATAAGAAGAAAAGCTGGAATATCACGAGGACAGCCTGCAAGCTGCACGTGCTCGATGGCACGCATGCAGGAAATGCCCAATCTGTCAAGCAGTGCGCTGTCGTGTCAGTGTTCGCCAAGGCACGCGGAACATCTGGAAAGAAAAGCCTCTGATCTTGCGCAGCTGAAGCAGCTGTGTCTGAGTTGTTTACCACCGCAGCTCACAGAAGCCAACAGGCCTGCCCTGAACTTTCTGAGGCACCACTGTGCCCGGTCCCCCCGCTCTCGTCTGAACGTGGGTCTTGAATGACTTGGAATGGAGCCAAGCTCACATGAGCTGCAGAAGGACAACGGTCAGCTAGGGCAGCCAAGACGCCGACCAGATTGTTAAAGTCCTGGGCTTCGTCTTCTGGAGGACCAGGATCCGCACAGCTTGCGCGGCCCGTTATGCACCAGCCAGCAAATCCCACCAAATATATCAAGTAGAGCACCAATTCGAGACGAAACTGCCTGATTTTTGCAACACAAAGCATGGGAGACTTGACCGAGCTGCGCATATTCATATTCATTCCCCCCCCCCCAGGGTCAGCCTGCCTTCGTCCCACTTTTGCCCACTGCTCTTCCAACAGGACGTGAACGAACTTGGTCCGCATTATCTCTTCGTGCTCCGACTCCTCCAAAAAAAGCTCGCAGATGTGTCTTGTTCGGTTTGCTCACTTTCCAAGCTTCTTCTTCTGGGTTCTTGGCACCTTCAGTGCTGGGATGAAGCCAACGTCGTCATCTAGGGCACCGCGAAGATACCATACTCGGATTTCCACCGGCCGCTCGGGCACGTGGACATCCTCACGAGGGTGCACACACTGTCAGCAGGGCGGGAACACTCGCAGCACTCGTCCTCGGAGGTTGGCACCAGACCTGCCAGGAATATTCAGGGAAGGCTCTCCATCTCAGGAAGCACGGCTGTTCCTCAGTTATGCCAAGACTCCTTGAAACTCGGATGCTTCGGGCCGGAAAACAGGCGCACTGTAGGCTCTGATCATGAACTCGTTCTCCTGCCGTTGTCAGTTGCAACTAGCAGCATCGACCGTGCGCTGGCCGGAGTCGCACAGGTTCAGACTTGCCTTCAGGGCCGCCCGCGACGGCAGAACTTTAAGCTTCTCTCCCGCCCTGGTCACTTCGAAGTGCCGCGGCCTGCGTAACTAGGGCTCAAACGCAGCTCACGCGATTCTGGTGAGTCTTGCATGGGCACATACCGGCTGCTGGGAGCCTGAAGCCGATTGAAGCAATTTCCGGGCCGTATATTCACTACAAAACCGCCTTTCTGCGGTTTTCTCACCAAGGAGTTGCCACTTAAAAGAAGTCTGTTAAAGGACCGAGGCAGATTGGTTAGTGAAAACACCTCGGGGGTGGGAGTTTGTTTCGCCAGGGATAAAATAACTCGCAATCGTTGGCACAGACCATGGCAGAGGTAGAGGTGCGGGGGCAGGGGGAGAAACGAACAGACTCTGAAACTCTTGTTTGACCAGTTTGTTTCGGCGGCCAAAAACAAACTGCGGCCGGGGAGACCGAAAACATAAAATCCGGCCAGGTGAGTTTGTTTCGGCACAAACAAACAAACTCACAGTTGAAAAGTTTGGGAAACTCTGGCTCGACGATTCTGCTTCGGCGGCCGAAAACAAACTGTGGCCGGGCGAGTTGTGTCGTAGGCCGAAAAACAAACTCCCACCAGGTGAGTTTGTTTCGGCGGCGAAAAGCAGACTCTGGCTGGGAAAGTTTGAGGGAGGGAAAACAAACTAACTCTGAAACTCTGACTCGCCGAGTTTGCTTCGAAAACCAAAAAAAGCTTTGGCCGTGCGAGTTTCGACAACCCTTTCGTCTAAGCGCTTCATCAAGCGTCTTCTCAACTCTCGACAAACCAAGAGAAGCCACACGAATTCGCTTTGCGGGCCAGAAGCGAAGAACAACATTAAATACAACTAAAAATTTCGACCTCTCCCTCTTCTCTCCGCTTCAAGCCTCTTCTCCAGTCTCGACAAACAAGACGGAGAAGTCATATGTGTTGAAGGAGAAGGAAACACAGTTAAATAGCGACAGACAACAAGGGGAAGCCACGCGAATTTGCTTCAAGGAGGTTAAAAGCAAAGAAAAGCATAATTCCAAAAGCAACTAATTGAAACCGAGCATCTTCTCTGACAAACAAAAGCAGCTCAACACATGAGCAACGCAACGGTAGCATTGCCGTAAAGACGTGGAACCTGTTTGCAACTGCGGCAGTTGAGACTTCAAGCAAAGCCGGTCCGCATCAGGAGACTTGGGGTTTGTCCAAGTCATGAAAATTTGCCGTTTTAGCCACTGGTAAACGAGCACTGCAGTTTCTCGCTCCGAAACTCAATGTGTCTCGCTGGCAATATCGCAAGCAGGTACAGTACCAAGCGCGTTTGAAGGACAACAAACACGATCTGCAGTTTCTAACTCCGAAACTACAACCTTTCTTGAGGGAGTTAGTTTCTCCAACCGGAAACAAACCCGGTGCTGCGGGGTTATTTTCGCGCTCGGAAATAAACCCACTCGTGTGGAGTCAGTTGCTCGATCCGAAACTAACCTTTCTGGGTATGGTGAGTCTCTTGTCCCGGAAACAAGCCCACCCCTGTGGAGTTAGTTTCGCACTAAGCAACTAACCTTTCTTGAGGGATCTAGTTGCTCCTCCGGAAACGAACCAGCGCTACATAGTTATGACATAATTCAAGTCTCGTTCGGACACTAACTGTTTGGACGAGATCCGCCGATGCTCTCGAGATGCGCACCGCATAGACTTGATTGAAAGACTTGCAAGCCGAAAATGGCAAAGATAAGCGCATGCCGCCTTGCCTGCAGTTGTGTTCAAGATGAATGTTTTTGAGCAGGTTTGTCGCCGAAACTGACGTGGCAAAGGCAGGTCCCGTCTTTGCAAATTGCTGCCCTGGCCTCGACAAATCTTGTTCGGTTTGCTCTGATGCGGGCTGGAGGTGCCGGACCCTTCCCGTGTGCATAGCATTAACTAGGCAGCGGGACCTGCTGTCTTGCTGTTTTCTGCCGAGAAAGGAAATAACCGACCCGCAGCAAGGAATACTTACCCAAGCAGGGCTTTATAGTTAATTACACAGTTACACACGTGCAGGTTGCCGTGATAAAATTCGCAGGGCCGGGCCACATGTAAAGAATGCCAAGCATGTCGTCATGTTTCACATGTCTAGCTTCTCGCCAATCGAGACGAAAAGCAAGAGAAGCAAAGCACTTGCCGGTCTACTCTGTGTGCCGCACACTCCACAGCAGACCGTGTCGAGGAAGTCTGGAAGAGTTGCCATTCTGTGACGCAACAGCCGCACGACGGTTTGTGTCAAAGCCTTCAGGGGGAAGCGGCCAAGGAGTCGTCCAATCTTTGCACGCAATGCTGCACCTGGTGTTCCGCTGGCAAGCTGCAGGCAAGCAGCGCCTTGGCTACAAGCCAATTAATACCCGAATGCCCGTTGCGAGACCCGTGATCAACTTGCAGCAAGAGCTCCCTGCCCAGGATTTCTGCATTGTCGCCAAACTGGTCCCAGGCATGGCCGTACTCGACATGGTGCCTCTGCTCCATAAGGACCATCATCAAGTCCTGCAAGCAAAAGCACAGGCCTGATCGCAATTCTGGACTCTCGGTCCCCAGATGTCCGGCCTCTACGACTCCAAACTCGTGATGCTGGAGTGCGACATCCAAAGCCTCTGGCACAAACCATCTGGACAATGGAAGAGCCTTTTGAATTTTGAAGCATGCCACCGGGTAGCATTGCGGCCAACGGCATCGCGCTGGAAAGGTGATGCCGACAGCCGGACAAGCAAACGAGCGTGCTGGGCCTGACCACGGCAGGCGCAGCAGTGAAGCAGCGTCCAGCCTCTCGCAGGCACCCCAAGATCAGACTCTCAAGACACCGACCGTACATTGGGACGCTGCAGGCAGCAAAGACAAGAGCCTGATTGCGGAAGCTGCTGGTAAAGCAGGCTTGGCAGCATCTCCAACTGGGCACAGAATGCTGAGCTGGCCTCGGCTGACGGAACACCGCAGGTGCATCGTCTGCTTATCGAAACGAGCCCGAGGAAAAAAGACTTTTTGAGAGCGTCCAGGCTGAGACTATACTGCCAAGCGCAAGAATGGACTGAGTTGTTTATGGTTCACATAGGCTTTGTCAACAGTGGCTTGAAATGTTCTGCTTGTGCGAGGTTGGGTTCTCCCAACTCGGACGTTCCAAGCGAGGGGATTCAATGTAAAGATTGCAAGACTGTGGGACTGCAAAGGCTGCAGAGTACTGCAGTGGGCTGCTTGTCCAGTCCTACGCAGAACTTCCACGTTGGCGCCCCAATCTCAAGCTCGGGAGACCATAAATCGAGTGCCCTCCTAAAACCACATGTTTGCACGCAGAAGCGCTTTTCAGAGTCTTAACAGGGAGCGATGTTTCAAAGTATGGGGGAGCGGCTGCCTGTCAGTGTAACCCCATCACAAAACGAATTCTGACAAAAAATCAAGGGCTCCAGCCGGGACACATCGTCAGCTTTCATCTTTAGGTCAGGCAGCATAAACTCGAGCGACGGATTGAGGAGGTCATATACCAGCACGGACCGATCTCCACGCGCAGCTTCTTGCTGGGGTGACTCCACTGGATTCTGGAGGCAAACCGCCTTGAACAGCTGCTCCCCTTTCAAGATGACATCGCAGACATGTCCGCTCAAGGAGAGCACTCGATGGGCTTGCACGCGTGTCTGCACAATATCGTTTTCGGCACGATGCCGCCCCAACAGGAAGAGGTGGACTCGTCCTGCATTGTCGCCAGCAGCCAACAAGCGACCGGAGTTTGCAAAACGTAGGACGGACGGTGCCAATTGCGAGAGCTGCTTTCTTGGCAAGAGGTCTGCGTCTGTGGGCTCGCTGATATCAAAAAAAGTGCGGAAGCCACACCGCACTTCATGCACAACGATGCGGGAATCTGACCCACTGCTGGCCAACACGGCTGCAGGCAATGCTTCAGCTGTCGGCGGGGGGATCACTCCAGTCTGTGAAGGCCTTCTACCTGACCGTGGCTCTTTGACGGGAGGCGAACCCGAACGCCTGGCATCATCGCGGTGCCGCTGGCTCCCATCGTGGCCAATAGCCAGACAGCGCAGCCCCGGGCCCATGTCCAACCTCACCTCGCAGATCTCTCGCGCGGCACCTGCATCGTTTAAGTTCCAAATGCACGCCACGGCCATAGCACGCAGGTTCACACCACCCGCAAGGAGTGCTGTATGTCCAGGGAGGAAGGCCAGTGCCGCGACGGCAGCCCCAGGCAACGAGAAAGTGAGATTGGCCTTTGTAGTGCCTTGTCGACTGATCCAACAAGCCAAGCCAACGACCGTCTTCTGAGAGTGTACGCCTGGACCTGCTGCTGCCACCACTCCACTCGTGGGGTCGTCACCTTTGGCCGCTACAGCCTGCAAAGTGTGTGCGTGCTCTTCAGTGCACAGCTCCTCGTCCGGTAGCCGAAAAGCCTGCGAATAGAATGCACCACAGCGGCTCACAACTCTACTCTACTGTATAGCAATGCAGGCAAACCGAAGCCGTCTGCCTTCATCATGCCCCCACCCTGGAAACACGCCACAAGGAGGTCACCATCCAAGGCCACGCTCTCTGCGATCCATTGTCCCGCCACTCCGCTCACCTGTGCAAACGCGCAATCTAGACTGCCTTCTTCAACACCGTTCCGCACCTTTTGCCGAGTCATGTCACCGATTTGCCAGATGGAGAGTCCCCTGTCGTGCAGCTCAACTCTGAAAGGCAAACATGACACAGGAGATGCAACTCGGCGGAGGCCTCGACCGCGACCTGCCAAGTTCAAATGCAGGACGAACATCGAGGCATCGGGCAGAGACACTGACATGCCCTGTCGCCAAGCCTGGCCCCCTCCGCAGCTCCAGCTGCCTGCAGCTAGACGCAAACAGCCACTGCGGTGTCACTACAGAAACCTGCGCTCATTCAAATGCAAGCCGGACACCGAAATCGTCGTGTCCACGGTGGGGGTTTTGGTGGGGCTGGCGTCCAGAGATTGTGCCATCGATGGCTTCAGATCTGCCCCTGCCACCTGCAGCGACCACGGCATGTGGATATGCCGGGCCCCACACAACCTGTGAGCCACAAGGCAACAGTAACAACAAGCACTCACTCAGCCAGGAACTGCGAGGAAGTTCCCGGTATCGGAGCAGGCCACCACCGGTCTGGCACGGGAGCTCCCGCAGGGGATCCATGTGCCACCGCCGGAATCTCGGTCAAAAACAGCACATTTTGCCGGTGCACGGCCGGTCCTGAGCAGGAGAGGTTAGCATGATGAGCATGGGGATGGATGCTGAAAGGGAGGCAATGCAACAGGACGGAGTTCCCGAGCCGAAACAGTGCGAGGCACCGTTGAGATCGGAAGCCCACTGCCACCCAACGGCAATCATCTGCGGCAGCAAGCAATTGCGGGGTCTCACCGTTGAAGAACCACCTGGTGCATCTCGACCAGACGGTCATAAGACTTGGGCCGCAGGCATTGGGATTATGCCCTCTCGCAATGCTAGAACGATACACGCAAAGCCGGGTTGCTTTCAGGAAAAACAGACTTTTGCTTGAAGGCTCTAAGATGATTTCGAGCTTAGTGAATTTAATGTTTCTGGCAAACCCAGATCGCTGAGCCTCCGCAGAAGAGCTCCAGACTCGGCATTCACCAGTCCAACCTTGTCTTGTCTTAGTCGTGAAAGCTCACAGTGCTGCCGGCTTGTAATCTAAAAGGCTTATGGCAAGCTGCAGATACCAAAAGCACTAGTCACTAGTGCACCCAGAAGCAGACTTTGTCTGAGTGAGCGCCACGACAAGCATGGAGGAGTCAAGCCAACAGAGGGCCGGAATGCTCGAGCTAAGTGGCACCTCCTTTGCGCGCCATAGCCTGAGCCACAAGACTCTGCCATCCCTGATTGGCAGTTCCACAACTTGCATCGCGACTAGCTACTAGTTACCTGGAACCAGCAAGAGGCAGCAAGGTTACAACAGCTAGTTTCCGGCAAGGCAGCTCTTGCGTCTCGAGGCTCCACACTGAAAGAGTGCTGGAATGCTCCAACCACCGCTGCGATCGTCGTTTGTTGGAGCCCATGGCACCTGATGGCAATGCAGGGTCTGCACTTTCACAAAAGAAGACGGCATGAATCGGCATGAGGCACCTTCGACGGTTTCCATTGGGTTGCCGGCGAGCTGACCTGCAGAGTGAATTGGTTGCAGGCGTGGGCGACAACAAAGCTTCCAAGGATATCCTAGAACAGTCGCACGAACGTTGTCAAACGCACTTTCTTGAAACTCGCCCGCCCTCCTAAGCTGGAGAGACCGATCAAAGCTGGTCTTTGCAGCGAGGAGATTGCGTGCCTCCTGTGCCATCGCCCCTTTCGCAGCCCACTGCCAGCAGCGTGTTGTCTGGAGAAGCCGCAGCGCACAACACACGGCTGTTGCCAAGATCCAATGTTTGCAGGTTCAAATCTGGGGGCTGCAAGCGAAGAAGAACCTTTGTGCACTGGCAGGGACAAAGGGACGGAACACAAGCTCAGGCGAAAACAATGCTAATCACTTCCGATTCCACTTCGCTCCATTGCCAGAGAAGCCACTCGCTTTTTCTGCAGCATGGTTTCCACCTCGTCCTTGCTCCGGGGCAGTTGCAGATGCAGGGACTTTCCCATCGTCGTCGGGTCAAGTGATCGCCAACCAGCAAGTAACCAGCCTTCCAGATTGCAGCTTTATATTTCATTAAACTACCAAACCGTCTAAAGACGCAGAGATCCCCGTCAATCGGGACCTGCTGGCAGATCATGGCTGATAGATTTACCACTGGCTTACCACAAAGGCCTTCAAACATGCATACTGAAACGAGCCAGCACCCTTCTTGGGCTGCTGGGACGAGAAGAAATTGGAGATGCTAGGCATTACCCCTTTTTCTCCACTACCACATCCACAGAATAGTAAGGAGGAATGCTGTAAGCGGACTCGATGAACTTGTTTATCAGTTTATCATGGACTTGGAGATACGTTGCAGTATAGCTACAGACTTCGCCACGACCATTTGGTTGCCAGCAACCTTCTCGTGGCGATGTGTTCGCACATCAGGTCCCGCATCTGTCTGGCAGAAGCGCCATGGCATCTTTCACAACTATACCCCGCGCCTGAGGAGCCACGTACGCCCAGTTGGTGTGCCAAGCCTCCTTCATGGACAGCAAGCACCTGTGTATGTCATTCTGAAGTAGTCGCGAGCTCGTCTAATTACTTCTCTCTCGCGTGTTCTGTGCGAAGCAGATAAGTCTTCTTTCGACATGATCGTGCACAGTCTATCCCTGGGCCTGCAAACTCTCATTCTCCACCGTGAATGATAAGTCATGACCTCAACCCGATACACTGGCAGCAGATGCATATCACACCTCTCACATGTCACAACCCTTCTTGAATGACATTTTGAAAGCGTTCTGGGGTGATTCATGCTGCAGACAGGCGCACTGGGAATTTCGTCCCAGTAGATAGCATCAATCTGACGTACATCTCTGGGTCCGGTATCTCGCCCATGTTTTGATGCAGTTGACCGGCCTTGCAAAACGAGTCTTCCAGCGAAGTTGGGGCAGCTTGGTCGGTGCCTTCAAGCCCCCAAAGAAGGACTCGTCGATCTGCCGCAAGTATAAGATGTTCCGAAGCGGCTCCTTTCTAGCGGCAAGCGAGCATACACCGTGCAAATTGCACACAAGGTCCGCGGTCCTGTGGAAGAGAGGGAGTGGCCAATACAGTGCATCTCCATTTTTGGAAGGACCAGGCGGCACTCTTCCAGCAGCGTGTCGGCCTGAAATCGGCCGACGACAACACCTACTTCCGGCACAGCAATCCGACAGTCTGCTCATGTATGCTGTGTGGCGTCAAGCTATCGTCTCTTTCTTGCGCCGAGGAGCATCGAAGAGAACAACAACGGTGCACAGAGGCCCCGCCGAAGCTGCAATTGCGATTCGAAAACCGCTGTTGCAGAAACACATAGATCGGAGGCCCCATTCACGACGAATGGCTGGGATCAATTCGCCTTTCAGCGTGCATGTCTTGCATTGGATTGCTGAGGTCTTGCAAAGCTACGATTCTGCGCGCCTACAGAGCATTTATGGCCAGAAGAGTGGACGCTCCAAATGGTGATGCAACAGCTCTCCACTCCTTTGGAGCCTTGGCTCCGCATTCCCAGCGGCTCAGCACGTAGAGTTTTGAAACACGAAGTGCAGTTGAGCACAGGTGCGACTTTGCCGATCGCGGAGACCCTGCACCCGGCTATCTCTGCCTCCACCAAGACAAAGGCTCCACAAAGGCAGGGGATAGGGCCGATAGGCGGATTGTGAATTGTGAGCCAAGGATCCACCCCCACAGGCCACAGCGAAGCAGCCACCACCTGGTCCCCAGCAAACCTCTACCAGTGGTTGCTGCATCGACAGAGACCATAGTTTGACCGCAGCATGGGCCTCAGTCAGAGAGTCGACGTGTTGCAACGTTCAAGGTACTTCATCACCTGACAGCACCGAGTCAGAAACCTCGGCGGCATTGGGATCAACATCATACAGTCCCACGGTACCAGTGCTGTCCTTGCCAGCAGGCCATGTGTAAGTTGCTGGTTTGTGTGTGCCTCTGATAGCCAAGAAGCACCGACTAGCAGCAAGGGATAGTTCGGCCCAGGTCTGGCAGCCAAGCACGAAGCCCTGGCATCCTCGTCACTTGGCTGCTCAGGGCTCTCTTCCACCGGTCTGAGCACCTCACCTTTGCAAGGACTGGCTCCAAGTAGGTAGCAGGCAATGCTGGCAAGGTCCTCGAGATGTAGAATGTAGAAACGCTCCAGACATGGAAGCTCGCAAGTGGGGGTGCGGGGTGTCACTTTAAATGCGCATCACATGCAGTTTCTTAACCGCGAGGACTCTTTCTGCAAACATCCGCTACCTGTAGGTGTTCGACAGATTCGGCAGTCTGCCGCTTGTCTCAGGAGTTGATGTGCGTCAGCTCACTCAAGCAAATGATAGCAAGCGGGGCCGCAGGCCTTCTCTGCAGCTCCACCAATTTCTCTTCATCCGCACTGTTGACTGCTTGGTCCGCCTGTCAGCGCTGAGTACATCCAGCACATACTCTCGCACGTGAGAGGGCCTGCTGGCGAGAATACGACAGGTCCGGGCGCTGCCAAAGAGGCAGGAGAGCCTCGTCTGAACCTGCCCGGCCAAGTGCATGATGTCTGGCTCTCAGGTGAGTCGTCTCATCGTGTGACTGCATGCGGCTTGCCGGTAGGCTGTGAGGCCATGCCAAGAAACCATGATTCTGTCAGATTCTGTCTGAACTCTAGTCTACCACAAACCCAACGTTTGTATTGGAATGACCCATCTGAACAGGGGCCTGTCGAAGAACACCGCAGAACTTACATGACAAGGCTCATCCGCCTGCATCCTCATCTGGCAAGACAGGCGCACTGCCAGAGCAGCACATGATGGCAGATGTTACGACAGGCCATGGCCAAACGTTCGCCCCTTACAGGGCCTCTAATCCTAACAACGTTGGGACAACCTGTCTTCGACATTTTTCTTAGACACGTCACAGCATGTCTTCTTGATTTCGTCGGAAGCTTGTGCAATGCTGTAAGCAGCTAGTGTAGCACTGACCCTGATTTCTGGTGCTTGTTGTCAATTACAGCAGATATTCCTTGAGGTTCCACGCGCCAGCAATCTGCAGAAATGTATGCATTACATGACCAGCGCCCCGGATCTGCACCAAGGATGACGACAGCCCTGCCTGTGCAGGCAGCATCCAGCTGCCGTTACTCTGCTCCTTCAAGCAAAATAGACTCGAAGCTCGTTCTGGAGTGAGTATTTTCAAAGCTCCGGAAAGCCCGTCTAAGCTGTCCACACTGTCCTGACTCACACCGGCATTCTGTGACGACAAGCGTCGCTTCAAGATACATGTCAACACAGGCTGCCCGTTCCTTAGCATGAACAATCGCCGCCGAGTCTTCTTCAATGACTGGGCCGATCACCCCAAAGCAGCCCCGACACATCGACTCAGTTGCTCACTGGTCCCGCTTGCAAGCTTGGAGGTTGAGGCGGTCAGCACCTTAGCTTGCCCAATGCCGACATGCGCCGCCTCCTGGATCACATGCGCAAAATCCCCGCTGGCGTTGTCAGTGCCGAACCGGGTGGCTTTTCCAAGCGCAGCCTGCAACATGCATCCATATGTTCCACAACACGCAAAAATTCAGGAACACCAGAAGTCAAGCGGCCTGTCATCGAGGCCAGCATCCATCCAAGCAAGCCTCTGCGGCTTCAAGCCTTGACCTGGAGCCTCCAACCTCAGTCCAGCACATCCGTCCCGTGCCAGCTACCACGGCTCCGACTTACGCCGGTTGTCTGTCTCAAATGACCAAACTCTCTCGCCAGAACTCTGGGGAGCTGGCTGGATCTCTGCCAGCGGCCCCATTTGGCTGTTAATGTAAGTGTTACGCAAGAGGAGCTCCTCCAAAAGTCGCCACTCCGAGACTTGACCCTTGAGGTTATGGCGTCCTCGCACTCCCAGCTGCTCAAATTGCAATCGCTCCAGTCCGAACCTTGGCTGCCCATGCGAATCTCAGCTTGCACGGCCATGCCCGGCCGTTCCTGCACTACAGTCAATCGTCAAGCCAACAGCAGCAACGAGACCGCACGAGGCATGCGCGCTTGCTAAAGCAAACGATGCTGCCACGGACAAACAGTAACAACTTGGCCCTTGACTGAAGGATTGTTTGGATTGGCTGACCAATCGCCTCACTGGTATCTGCTTCAACGCCGCCGCAACGTTCAAATGAGCCAAGTGGCCGCTCGAAGCTCAAGAGCTGCTGAAGAAAGGAAGGCTTCAGTTCCAGATCTGGCAAAACTTGGTAAGCGATTTCAAAACGGGATCCAAACATCTCTGCAAGCGCCTGGTCGCCTTGAGCTCAAGAATTCCATGGTCTTCCGGAGGCCCCATGCATACTTCTTCATCATATAGCAAGCCATGATCTCAGCCATGACATTGCATCTTGGATCTGTCTCCGGCCCCCGGGCGGATCTAAGCATCGCGCGCAACAGGATCGCGACCTAAGCGTACAAGCAACAGGAAAATGCAAGAAGTTTTTTTCTGTCTGCGACTTCCCACAAAGTCTTTAGGTCTGTGTTCATTGGCGGTGATGGTCCGTCCAACAAGCCAGTGGAACCACAATGATTCGAACCTGCAATCGCTTTGTTCCATGAGTACACATTGACTATCCTACATATGACAATGCAAATCTGTATCTCTCCCTTCACCGTCGCCACCGAGAAGCCTGCTACCCCAAAGCCGACACAATTTGCAGTTGTTTTGCAGTTGCTGCACCATGCACTGCAAGCTGAGATCAGCGCTGTCCTCGAACACTGTGGATCAGCACGCTCTCTGCTGCCTAGCAAATAAGTCACCGCTCAGTGTGGGATAGTGCGGGCACCTTGGAAACCCAATGCTGCTTGCCTCCAAAGCTTGCTCCACGAAGCTGAAGGTTTCGTTGGCAACCACATCACCTAATTCAGTCTGCCAGCGCGGCCGCACACGCAAATACTCGTGACGCCTGCGACATGCAACACTGTGCAAAGTGTGCTCATGTTTTTTCAATCCTTTTGGCCAGCTGTACATTACTGTACATGGCTGCTTGAATGCTACTTACCAAATGATGCCTGCAGTACCTGTGCTAATGATCTCATATTGTAAATTGCCTACGGCCAGCTAGCTGGCATTTGAGCAAATTCAAAACTGGGAAAAGGGCCACGAAACTGTTTTTTGCAGCACAGCCGCCCCGAGCCGCTTAAGACTGCAGGTTGCAGTTGGCACTGGGATTTGGACGTTTTTTTCGTGCAATCGGCAAAAACTGGGCGAGAAAAAATCCAAGCCCTTCCTTCCCCGCCCGTGGCGTTCAACTGTTTGTCACCTTGGTTATGTCTACGCACGGGCTCTTGGGCATTCCGCTGTCTTACACGATCAAACACAATCTCAGACGCATATGCAGCCCCAAGGTTGCAAGTTGCAACAGTGTGTTGCAAGTGCGCAACAACGTTTTGTCTTCCTTTCGACTCATGCTTGCATTATCGCATCCCTGACGGTAGCCTTCGCATATTTGGCCGCAACAACGCCACCAGCGCTCTTCACCGCATGGCCAACAACGCGGCAACAGGGTGCGTCGCGAAGCCACGCTCGGCAGGCTCGTGGCAGCACCACGCAAGGGGGCAGGAGCTCGCACGAGCAATTTTTTGATGCAGGACATACACATACCTAGACAAAAAAATCCGCATGTCTATGCTGCCCAAATTGTGCAACTAATCTTGACACCCTGTTGAAGCCAATATCGGATTCATTAAAAGGGGTCAATAGAAGCCCTGCAGCCAGCATCAGCCGCATCATGGGGGCGAGAACAACCCGTAGGTTTCTTTTTTTTCCACACGCCTTTCTGCAGCAGCACGAAAACAAGCTACGAGGAAGAGGATGGGTGTGCAGCACCGGTGAGATGCACATCACCGCGCAGGCAGGCGACTGGGATGTAGCGGGCTGTCTACCCGGTGCTCGACGAGCACGTCGCTGAGGTCAGGGGGCGAGCCATCGACGTTTGCAGCGCCGCGGAGGGGCAGTGACAACCGCGAGGCTGCAAAGGATCTGTGCAAAGGCGAGAAAGCCAGACCATCTCTGCACCCACGCCGCGGTGCTGCTGGCACGAAGGTGGGGGGGTGCGGACCGTGCTCGGCTGCGGGAGAGGAGTCGCACGAACTGGACGGCCTCAGCTCCGACGTCCAGCGACTTCGATGGCAAGAACCTCGATGCGCCGGTGGTCGTGCCTCTGGATGGCCATGTTGAGGTCGCGAAGGAGGACATTGGCTGCGACTGTCCGGCCTCTTTGCAAATGCGTGCAGCGGCCGACTCCAAGGGAATGCCTCGACCGCGGAGGAGTCCAGCACGCGGGCAGGCTGCACGGTGATCACCGAGTGAGTCAAAATGAATGCCACAACGGCAGGCCGCAGCATCGAGGGGCAGTGATGAATCAATAGCTCTTTGTAGGTTTCGGGAAGGGATTGTGTGACCGGTCGTGAGTCAGCTTTGCTACCATCTTTCCTGATAGCCGTTGTTGAATTCCTCCTCGTCCCGCCGTAACATACAGGTTCGAGGTGGGTGGGAGGGAGCACGTCCCATAGCATTGCTTGCAGCTGTTGCAAGCTTGTAGTTTTTTTTTGTTAACGCGCTTCTTTTCGAATCGTGACCGCGGTCCCAGTGCACGTTTCAGCTGCGAGCTACGGGAGGGTTCAAGGCGCCGGCAGGCGGCTTGCGCCGAGCGGGGGGCCGCCGCGGACCTCGGCGAGGATTTCGTGGAGGTCAGGCGCCGCACCCGCATCGCAAACGTCACCACCAGGCAGCTCGAGGAGGGACGCCGCAAAGGCACGCATGGCAGCGACCGCAAGGAGGCCGGACCAACGTTGGACCCAGCCTGCACAAGCAGCAGCTCGGAGGAGGGGTGGAAGGCTGGCCGCACGGTGCCGGGCAAGGTGACGGAGGAAGGAGGCAGCTTCAGCACCGAAGCGCCCGCCGACCTCGACCCCGAAAAACGACGAGACGGGCCCGTCGCGCGCTAGCGAGCTCGGGGTACGTTTGGCGCCGCTTGCGGCGCGCGGCGGCTTGGACGGCCGCGCCAGGGCGCTCGGCGGCGCCCGGCTGCGGCTCCCCGCTCCGCGTGACAGGACTGACGATCGTGGCATCAAGCGCGAGCTGCGCCCCGTGCCAGAGGGGCAGGCCGCTTGCGACGACCTCAATGCGACGCGCGTCACTGACGGGAACATCGATGTTCATGTCAGCAAGCCGGACGTTGCGTGCAACCCGCGCGCCGCCTTCCCGGCACACACGGGCGACCGCATGCTCGAGCGGAAGGGCTCGCGTCGCCAACACTCCGGAGGCGGCACAAGCGGCGCGGTGGTCACCAAGCGGGTCAAGGCGGCCCCGGCAGCGGCAGGTGCGCGGCGTCAGGGGCAGTGGCGGTGAGGGCACGGCCTGAGTGGGGTCCAGCTTGCGAAAACAGCAGCGCTCGGGACGCAGGGTTGAGGTGAGAAAGGTGTGTCTCAAGCGCGCGCTCGTCGCAAGCTGCCACGGCAGCCCTCTTGCCAGCCACGCAGGTGGCCGTCCCCGTGCGGGGGTTGCGGTGCGGCAGGCGCGGCCGCAGCGCTCCAGTCGGGTACGGGAAAGCCGGCCTCACGTACTCGCGCCGCAGCCGTGCAAGCGGCGGCGAGGGCTGGCGGCATGCCAGCGTGAGGCGGACGAAGGCTGGCTTGCAACTCGTCCTGCCACGAGGCCCAATAGGCGGCCGCGGCACCGGAGGTGGCAGAACGCAGACCCAGGCCCCCTAACCCGAGCGGAAGCTGCGCCGTGCCAAGGGCATCATTTCGCAGCTCGGGTGCTTCCTCGCCGTAGAGCAAGGTGCGGAGACACAGGGCGACGGCACGATCATGTTCGCGGGAGTAATCGGCGTGCAGTGCGGGGGGAGCATGCGGAGGAGGTATAGTTGGCGCGGGGGGACGCGCACTAAAGTAGCAGCAACCAGGCTGCCTGCAGGTCGCCGACGAGCCCTTGGCGCTCTTCTGCAGGCAAGGTCCAAGCCCCGACCCACACGTCAGTGGCAAGGCTGGGGTCCGGTTGGAGTGCAGCGAGGTTCGGCGGTTCCTCTCCAGCTGCGTTCCAGACACGGGTCTTGCCCTGGTTGAGCTGGACTCGAGCATGGTCCCAAAGGGCAACGGCGAGGGTACCGGACAAGGTGGCGACGCGCTCAGGGGGGCAGACGATGTAGGTATCATCGAGGAAGGCGAACACGCCTTCGCCTGGCTGCAGTGTGGACGCGACAGCATGAAGGGCAGCGTGCTGTGCCACCGCATAGAGCGCAGGCATGAGGGGGTCGCCTTGCTCGCCGCCCTCGGCTTGCAAGATCTCGTGCTCGGTGCCCGTGTCGTCAGTCCAAACGTAGCTGCTCTCGGTGCCATAGAACTGGCGAGCGAACGGCAGGAGCGGGGCAAGCTGAGGTCGCGAGCGCAGCCCTTCGAGCATGGCCTGTCGAGAAACGTGGTCGAACGCTCCTACGGCGTCGACCGACAGGACCGTGGTGCGGGGATTGCACTCGGTGGCGACCTGGAGGAGCTTGTACAGCGCCTCAGTGCCCGCACGCGTGCTCAGGCCGAACTGATATGGCATGCATGCCGCCTGGAGGGCCTCCGCGAAGTGCTGTGCCAAGGCTCGGGCGACGAGGCGGCGAAAAACATCCCCGACGACGAGCGCACGCACCCGGCCGTTCGGCTTCCGGAGCGCTACGATTCGTCCAAGGCGTGCGGCTGCCAAGACAAGCGCCGGCACGTCAGCGTTGGCGAACCGAAGTGCTGCCTGGTGGAGCAAAGTGAAGTCGTCGGGGTCGTCCAGCAGCAAGCGCAGGTGCTCATTAGTCATGCCTGAAGGGCCTGCGGCCGAGCCTCGCCGGGCCGCGCGCAGGTTGGCCAGCAGGAGCGTGTCTGGCCTGTGTCTGGCATGGGGCATGGCTCCGCGACATGGTTGAGCACCTCCGGGCTGAGTGGCGCGACTGGTGTTTGAGGTCGGCGGCTGGGGTCCCGAAGTTCAGCGAGCGTAGATTGGTTGCCGGCGGCGAGTGGCTCAGCAGTGAAGGCCCGACTCGCTGCAGAGAGTTCCTCCAAGTGGACGAGCGCGGTGGCGCGCGCCGCTCGACGTTCCGGGTCGGCCCCGTCAGCAGGTGAGCGCGGGGTAGGCCGCGCGGGAGGTGCGGCGCAGGCCGCGCGGAGAAGCGAGGGCCATTCGCCGCGGCGGAAAGCGTCCGCACGCCGCTCGAGCTCGGCGGGTTCGATGCGCGACTGGCCGGGCTCGCGGTGCAGCAGCATGCGGGGTGCCAAGAAAAAGAGTTTCCAGCCACGGGTTGTGTCGTCCGGCCCGGGGCCCGCCACGGCCTGCTCCAACCCCGTCC